GGCTTTTGTATAAATCAAGAGCAGAGTGTTGGTTTTTACATGTGCTTTCACTTGGCTTTGATGACCATTTTTCCATCGAGGGTTGAAAATGGTGGTGTATCCATCATGTGTATTCATTTCAAACCCGGCGGTTGCGAGGCCGACTGATTACATTTGGTTTTTCCATAGGTATATTACACAACCATGCCCTTGCGACAGCCTGTGCTTCACCTCCCCCACCTCTCACCTCTCACCTCCACCTCCACACGCAGCATGCTCATTCCAACAACGAGGCCTGATTTGTGTACAGCACATCCACCACATTGCTCAGCTTCTCAATCGTCTCGAGGGCGGCATCATAGCCCTGATCGCGCTCCGACTCATCATAAACAATCAGACAGCCGGCGCCCTGGTCAAGCACGCCAATAATGACCTTGTCAAGGATCATCTGAGAGAGTTTGCGCTCGACCTGCGCGGTATCGAGGCCGACCATTTTAGCGACGTGGGCGATTTCGACTCTGCTAAAGGGCTCGATGACCTTGATGAGGTTCTGCTCGAGCATGTTGTCGTACAGGCGGCGGAGGTGGCTGGTGATGAAGCGGTCGCTGCCGAGTTGTTGGCGGTACTGCGTCAGTGCGGCTTCGTATTCTTCGAGGCTGCGGTTGGTGTGGGCCCGGGCCACGGCTTTCATGGCTTCCAGCCGCTTGCCCGCGTACTTGATGGCGTGCTTGGATGTCATGAGCGAGGAGACGTCGTCGCCGAGGTTGAGCATGATTTTGCAGAGGAGCATGTATTGGAGGGCCGAGGTGGCTTTTTGTTCTTCGTCCTGCGAGTGGTAGCCCTCCATGGCTTCGATGAAGTAGGAAAAGGCCGTGTTGAAGTCGCCGTCTTCGGCGTGGAGCATGCCGCTCTGCATGTCCAGGCCGGCTTGCAGGAGGGGTGGTGTGTAGACGGATGCGGCCGATGTTCGTGCAGAGGTGAGGGCGGCGCGGCCCTTTGGTATGTTGCCTAATGCGTGGTAGACTCTTGATTCCAGCAGCTGCACCTCGACCAGGACCAACTTGTCATCCAGGCGCTTGAGTTCCTTGAGCAAGCTGTTGATCAGGGCCAGAGCCTCGTAGTACGACTGCTTTTGCATGTACAGCGAGACCAGGCGGGTCTCGAGATTTTGCCGCAGGAAGCCTCTCCGCTCCGAGACGGCCCACTCTATGCATGACTTTGTGACGGCGATCTGGACGTCGACGGTGTTGGGGATGGGTGTGAAGAAGTCGAGCAATTGTCGGACTGCAGGTCGTTTAGTTTCTTGCTACTCAGAGGCGCCGTTGTTCTTGTTGACTTACCTAGCTTCGATGTCTTTGCCTTTGCAAACGATGACAGAACTGACCGCGCCTGCTTCACCAACTCAGCCAGAGCATCCACCCTCTTTTGGTCGCGGTACAGTTCGCCCAGGCCAACCAAAGCGCTCTCGTAGTTCTTGATGGCCGTCTCATTGGTGCCGGGGTCTGTCGACAGCACCTCTTTGTACATGTGCTCGGCCTGGGTGGCATCCGACTTGACCAGCGCCTGCGCCTCTGCTATCCGCTTACTCGTGTCCTCGACAGCCATGATGTGGGTTGGGAGCAATAGGCGAGCTGCTTGGCTGAGGTCGTTTGTGGCAGTGTGGCCGTGTATGAATTTTGGGTCTGGCTGTATGATGGAAGGTGGGGGTTGATTATCGGTGATGCTGGTACAATTACGCTGGACAGAGGCTACAAGCTGCTCGATGCGCGCAATCGCCCAAAGAAGGCGGCCACAGGGTAAGTTGCAACGGTCGTCGGCAAAACATGACGCCGATTGGCCGAATCAACACCTCTTTCCACCTAGTCCCGTTACGGGTCCCTAGCAACGCAAACAGGGTACATAGTAACTCATGCACTCGGGTACTTTGAGTATCATGTGATCTGCCACTGTTGCATCCTGGCTATTTTGATGGCACAGGACAAGTAACGTGATCCTCAAACTAGCCGAGACAAGTAGTAGTAGTGCGAGGTACTGCATGGCAAAGTTGGGACCTTGAGCGGGAAAAGACACAAGCTGCAAGCAAGAAGATGGGTTCATCCGACCATCTGCTCTAGTTACCTGCATTGCCTTCATCTCTACATCTCCACATCTCCGCAATCTCCACATCTCTTTGCTATGAACGCTTTTGTGAACGCGTTTGTGAACGCGTTTGTGAAAGGCTCCTGTGAAAGGCTCCTGTTGGCGCCGAGTTGCATGGAAACGTGATGGCGGTGTTGCTGCCGTGGGGACGGCTGAGTTGGCAGGCGCGCCCTTTCGTCATTGATTGGCCCGAGCGCCCATGTAAACAATAATAATACAGAAGCACCATGAGCTTGAGCCTTCAACTATCAACAACCAGCCAGCCGCCCTGCACTTGCCCTCCTTCCCATCTTCAAGACACCCCCCTCTCCCCCGCTTCCCACTCACGATATCACGAACCCTTATACCCCCCGTGCGCTGGGTCGCTGAAGCGGTTTTGCAATTGATTCATTTCTCCATTGAATACAGAAAAAGAAACCCACGCGCCATCTGTTGGCTCGTCCTCGCTGTACATTCCACAATTACCACTTTGGGTTGACCATCTACCAGACGAGACACCATGACTTCTTCAGACAGGGAAGACTCGCGCGACAGGGAGCTTGTCAGGCACTCACAATCGTTCGGTGACAGAATGATTCCCATGTATGTTTTTCAGCCTGCTTTTGCATGTAAACAAACTTGGCTACAGCTCGACTAACATTGCCCTCCAGGTGGGACAGTGCTGATCCCGACCGAGCTCCACCACCACTACCTTTGAATCCTGGGTCGCCAAACCTCACAACTCGTCCGGGAGCTTCAGCCGCCATTATGCAGGCCGCCAAAGCGCTCGAGGAGAGGGCGCGGGAGAGTGCGCCCGCAAGCTCGTACACCACCAATCCTATGCCACTTCCACTTGCATCCAAGTCGCCCGAGCGGTCACTCGTAAAGGGCACAGCACACAAGCGCATGCAGTCGTTACAGCCCGGCAGCGTTCGCGATCTTCGCAGCTATCTCGACACACATCGGTCGCCTGAGCGATCTCCCGAACGACCAACGGAGCGGCCGAAGAGCAGATCCAACCATTTCTCGCGTGACATGGACAAGGACTACTTTGGCAGAGACTTTGATCTGAGTCCATCGCGACATGGTGCGCCGCAAGGTACATCTACGCCTACACCGCCTCCACGGTTCGAGATCAAAGAGACACCGGCGCTGAGGCCCAGTCATCGAGCAATTCTCGGCGAGAACACGCCTCCTTCAGCAACTATGCAGGCTCTGCAGAACATGTCCATTCCCGCGCACATGCTCGACCCACCGCTTTCAAACATCACCAACTCGGCGACGAAGTCACCACCAGCGCCGGCACAAGGACCTGCTGCGCCGCCGCCACCACAGGGTCTCGACTCCATTGCTAGTCAGCTCGTCAGCATCAACAACATCGTCTCAAGTCTTCAAAAAGATATGTCTCAGCTCAGTCGGCGCAGCAAAGACAATGCTACCGACCTCATCAGTCTCAAGGAAGCCACCAACACACGAGACGAGGACATTCGGAAATCACTCAAGGATCTCCTCACAACCATGTCACAGAAACAACAAGCCATGGCAGCAGCGGCGGCGGCACACACCGAGCAACCTCGCTCGAGCAGCCTCAACCTCCAAGATCCCCACATGACACCTACGAAGCAATTCACCTTTCCACGAATGTCCTCACCTAGTGGTTGGGACGAGCGGATAGGCAGCCCCAATCCTTACTCGGTGGAGGGTGCTGCGAGTGTCGCGATGCTGGAGAAGATCATCCGTGAGATGGTCACAAAGGATGGCCAGGAACGTCTCATCAACAACCTCCAGACTCTAGTCGACAAGGCCACCGGCGAGACGGCCAAGAAGGTGACAGAGTTGGTGGAGTTTGTCAAGCAAGGTTCTGCCGTTAATGGACTCAAGTCTGATGCTGCACCCGGATCTGTCTCCTTCCAGCCTTCGCCAGGATCGGGAGCTCTGACGCGAACCATGTCCGAAGGATACTCGCTACGCGACGCCTCCGAGGCCAGCAAGCCTTTTGCTAGCCCGAAGGCGGCTGACTTTGTGAGTGAGGAGATGCTCAAGTTCTTGCGCAAGATCAAGGATAGTGTTGCGGAGTCGGGTTGCGTCACAATGGCTACCAAAACACTGGTTCAAGATCTACGGGGTGAGGTGCTCGGCATGGGTCGAGAACTTGCTCGCAAGGTCGAAGAGGCAGAGCAGACTAGGTCGATCGAGGGTGGCGGCAACTCAAACCACGCCACTCAGGAGATCAACAGCATTGTTCAGGAAGGTCTCGCAAGCCTCAAGGAACACATGGACAAGGTCATGCGAGAGAGGCGCCGGCAATCCGTCTCCTCCAATGTCACGCGTAACACAGTCGATAGCAATGAGGTATACGATGTCGTCAAGCACGCCCTTGCAGAGCGAGGCTTGGATAACTACTCTGCGCCAGGTGCAGCACTCGACAAGGAGGCTATTGTCAGCGCGGTCCGCGAAGCGTACGACAGCGTCGAAATGAAGCCAAATGTCGAAATACAACAATTTGGTCTGGAACGAGAAGAGATTCTCCAGTGCCTACGTGAGGGCCTCCAAGACTACAACGGATCCGGTGCCGTTACCAAGGAGCAGATTGAGGAAATCATCCACAATTCCCTAGAACAGATGCGTCTTCCAGCTCCTGTGAATGAAGCGCAAGAAGTTCGAGAGGAGATTCTGGAAGCTGTTCGTGAGTGCTTGGAGGATATGAAGCCTTCTTTTGCTGCCCAGCAATCTTCCTCGGAACCGTTGACGAAGGAGGTTGTCCTTGCTGTTATTATGCAAGCACTAGAAGAACACCAGCCCCCGCCCCAGGAGATCGATATTCCCTCGGAGCCCATCTATGAAGCGATCAAAGCTGCCATTGATACGTCCAGGCCCGAGATCGAGGCTCAAAACCAAGCTGTCATGCAACGATTACAGACTTTGGTGGACGAGATGCATTCCGAGTTCAAAACATATGCATCTGCCAGCGGAAATGACACTGAAAAGGTCCTCGGCGCGCTTCGTGACGGTCTAGACGGGCTACGTGCGGACATCAAGGGTACTGCACTTACGACCACCCGGGACATACCAGAGAATGAAGAGATTGTCGAGAGCATGCGTGTAGAGCTCGAAAAACTACGACAAGATGTCCAAGCTTACGTTGCCGAAGGACCTCGCGGAGATCATGTCTGGAAACGTGATGACATGGTATCTTACATCAAGTCAGAGTTTGAGCAACTTCACAAAACAGTGACCACGCAATTCGGCTCTGCTGGAAAGGGTAACGAGGAGATTCTCGCAGCGCTGAATGCTGGATTCGAAGAGATGAAGTCGCAGGTCGCCATCAGGGAAGAAGAGGATCCAGAGTCCAGCGATGACATCAATGAGGCCATGAAGCACGAATTCGATCAGCTTAAGGAGGTTCTTCTGGGCGACACATCGAGCAACAAGAATGACATCCTGGAGAAGTTGCAGGCAGGTTTCGAGGATCTTCAGGCTGCGCTCGGCGAGAAGCAAACTTCGGCTACATCAAATGACGAAATGATTGCTTCCCTGAAAGAAGAATTCGAGCATCTCCGCGAAACTCTGGGTGCTTCACTCATCAAGTCTGGCAGTGCCGACAAGGACGACATGCTCGACGCAGTTCGGGAGCTCATCGAGGGGTTGCGTTCCACTCAAGAAACCACCTCCAAGGAAAGCATTGCTATGCTGCAAGGCGACTTGCAGAGCCTAAAGGACTCATTGTGCAACGCACTCGTACCAGCTAGTGACAATGACAACAAGGTCACTCTCGAGGCTATCAAGGTAGTGCTCGAGGAAATCAAGTCTGGTGGTGTGAATGCAGAGCTCCTGGAAGCATTACATGGCGAGTTGGAGCAACTACGCCAATCTGACATAATCACCCGCCAGCATTCCCGTGCTGATACGGAGGAAGTCTTGGAAGCTCTACGTCTCGGACTTGACGATCTTCGTTCGCATCTGGAAAAGAAGATCGATGGTCCTGAACGCCAAATGTCTGCTGGCGGTGAGATTATTGATGCCATGAATGATGGACTCGACAGCCTGCGCGAAGATGTCGGGAAGCTTGCCGAAAAGCCCGTGGACATGACTGTATCTTATGAGATTCTCGACACTTTGAAGGACGGTTTGGCCAGTCTGCGAGAAGACATCAACAGCCTCAAGGCTGTGAGACATGACAATCCTGTGGAAGAAAACGCCGAGGAGAATGTCATCCCAGCCGGTAATGAGGTGATGCGTGTCGAAGATCTCGACAACGTTCAGGCCGCTGTAAGTCACGAGATTGTCGAAGATGGATCGCAGCCACAAGATCTCGAGAGGGTGGAGCCAGGTCATGACCATGGCCTCGAGAGGATGGAACTCATCCTATCTCAAATCCAAGGAAAGGTGGATGCTATGGATGCCAATTTCCAGAATGCAGTACCAGCCGCCCCAGCATCTGAGCGTGGCGTCGAGTTCACCATCCCTGAAGGTTTGGTCAAGAAAGAGGACCTCTCCGCAATCGAAGAACTTCTCAAGGATGTCCAGGCTGCCGTACTTCTCATGCAGGATCGCGAAACAGCCCCTCCTGATCTCGAAGGTTTTGCCACAAAGGAGGACACTGACGCTATCGAGAATCTTCTTGCAAACACCAAGGCAAAGATTGAAGAGATTGTGCTTCCCGACCCTGCGACTGCCGTCACCAAGGAGCACCTTGAGGACGTCGAACTTGTTGTGCGTACCACATCTGAAGCGCTTGAAACCCTTGCAAAGAAGATTGAAGACGAAGGTGCCACCAAGGCCGATGTGACTGTGGTGCAGGTCATTGCGGACGACATCAAGGTAGCGCTCGACGAAATGAAAGCTGCTGCCGCAGCACCCGAGGACGAAGAAAACCGCAAGGCCACCAAGGCTGACATTGATGCCGTTACGCTTCTCGTTGATGATTTGAAAGTTAAGTTGGATGATTTGAAGATCCCAGATCCAGAAGAGCTTCCATCTAAAGCTGAAGTCGAGCAGCTGACAGGGTTGATCCATGATTTCCGTGAGAGCCATGACAAGCTACGTGATACCTACGAAGAGGACATCATGAAGACGGCAAAGAACTTTGACGATCGCCGCCTAGAAGCTGAAGCTGTCGTTGAGAACATTACCGGTGTCAAGGTTGCGCTCGACGAGATGAGGGAGGAGATCCGAACAACTCTCATCGAAGGCGGGCCCCTTGAGAGCTTGAAGACCTCCTTTACAACTCTTGAGGAGACCATTGGAGCTAACAATGTCACCCCCGGTGTGAAAGAACTGATGGAGACGGTTGCCAGGGAATTTGAGCGCGCTCATGGATCGATCGAAGGACTACAAAACGACCATTCTGAGAAGTCGGCTCTCCACCTTGAGAAGCACGATGAAGTCAAGGATGCCATTATTGCTGGATTTACCGAGAGCCTAGAAGACAAGTTCAATGTGCTCATGGCCAAGTACGATGATGCACAGCTACTGGCTGATGAGCAAGCAAGGGTCATGAAGGAGAAGGGGGAAGCTCAAGAGAAGATTCTGGAGGAGACCAAGGCCATGGCTGACGAGTTGCGCTTGACCATCGACACGCTCGGGGCTTCCATCACTGGAATGAACTCTCAGATCGAAGAAGCAACCACCAAAATGACAACAGACTCCACAAACGCCATCGGCAAGATTGATGAGACTATGGCCAAGTTCGAAGAGCAGAAGCTCGAGGACAAGGCTGAGCATTCGCACACTCGCGATGAGATCAAGAATGTGGAGACCATCTTCAACAACCTTCAGGATAACATCACAGAGTACCATCCCAAGTTTATGGTTGCACTCCGTGAGATCGAAGCTCTCGTCAAGGCTCACTATGAGCATGCACAAAAGGCAAAGGAAGAGGCTGACGAGCATGCCCGTGCTTGGAATGAGGAAAACAAGGCCCGGTCTGAGGAGCTCCAAACGCACTTTGCCAATCTACCCAAGCTTCTACCTGCCCCTGTAGTAGAGCCTGAGAAGTACGACGATGCTCCAGTTCAGGAAAAACTCGACAAGCTTCTTGCCATTGAGCCCCCAGAATACGTACAATGATACTGCTGTCCAGGAAAAGCTTGACGTACGTTTGGGGGTGCTGA